TATCCATTTCTTCTTTATTTTTTAAATATGTTATATAAAGGGACTGGGTGGAGGAAACTGTTGCAATGTTAGCGATCAGCAGTAGTCGATCCATGCACAGCTCTAGTTCTCCCCTAAATGAGCCTTTGCTCCCTGTAAAACGTGTTCGGACCATTTGCACTTTTACAATTTTACCACGAACCTGAAATATTAGCTTCTGTGTCAAAGTGACCCAGCTTTCATCTACAGTCTTTGACTACACCCCAAGTAATAGTTTTTAGAATCAGCTCAGAAGCACGACCGGGGGTACGGTCATCGTTTTCTTCAGCATAAGGTTATGCACTGATTTTATCCCCAGAGTTAAACTACCAATGCAAAGTTGGGCAGAACAAAATTTCCAGGGACTCTTTTTAATATGGACACTGGAAATTACCAGGTAACACATGGCCAGATCACCACGTGGGAGAAATAGGCAGGTGTAATGATCAGCACGTCTTTGACAAGGGCTCGATCATTACAGGGGTGCTCCCATTCAGGAACTTGTATTGTTTCACTGTGAAACTCTCTTTAACCAGAATGTTCACTGCGAGTGTCCCTCGTTAATGTCCCCTTGCAGAAAAGCAATAAGATTCTAATCAACTTCATGAGACAGCTCTCCATCAGTGCTTCACAATCAATGTCCATTAATAGGCAGACCAGGACTCAGATTAACAACATATTTTACTCCATACTGCTGTCTGTGTAAAAGCTTGGCTTCAGGCTGATTATCTGGAAAACTGCTAGATTCAACATCTGAGCTGAACACATGTCAGGGCTGAGCTCACATACAACTGAACTGCTGACACTTTTACAACCTTTCTAAATCTTTCCAAGCCTGCAACAAATTTATTGTACAGGGTTTTGTTTTTTGTTTTGGGGGAACACCTAAGGAATTATTTCAGTCACTGTTGCCACGGTTTCATTAGGTTTACACTTTGTTAAACTGGAAAATATAAAAGACTCGCTCGTTTTTTATAAATCCTGAAGTTCCACAACAATAACCCAGATAATTTATTCATAATTGTCAGCCAGGGTCTAAATAAACTGTTTAACTAGTTCATTTATGAGATCACTGCAACTCTGTGCATGCGTGATGCTAATTTTATCCAACTAGATTTATCAAATTAAAATAAAATAAAACAGGCTGGCCTGTTACCATCTAACATTCTGTCAGCGTCACAGAAATGGTCATTTCAACTTTCATTTTAGCTTTAAAGCTTTTTGTTTCTCTTTCTCATCAGATCTACTTTATGGTTAGACGCTGCTGCCAGAGGCCGTTGAGAAGCCTGAAAATCAGTGCTCACTGCTGTCCTCCAGAGTACACGCCAGTCATTACAACAATGGTGTGAAAATACAAGGAAAAGAAGGTAAAGACCTTGAAGGTAACATCCTCCTCTAGGTTTGACTGACTGCACATTGAGGTTAGAGGTCAACCGATACATGAATTAGGCTTTTAATCGCCAGATTTCAAAACGTCTGATACATGTTTACGAACCCACCTTGTATAGAAAGCTGTACTGTTTTTTCTCCATATGACCCTTGAACCGCACAGGTGACGGGCCCGATCAGTGAGCGGCTGACGTTATGGATGGTAAACTCCACACAACTGCTGTTATCACTGGAGCAGAATCTAGCTGAATACTGCTCTACTGGGAGTATTGTAGTGTTTCTACGGACTGTGAGGACCAGAAACTGTCCAACTGTCCAGGCCATGAATTCCCACGATCCGGTCACTCTGGCGATGAACTGGGCATCGGAGCCTTTAAGCACTGCTGCAGACATCGGCTCCAGCTGAAACTGGTCTGACACTGGTAAGTTTAAAAGAGAATAGATGTGAGGATTTGCAACCTTGTGTGGAACATAGAGGTGTTTCTGCACATTTTGTTTGACTAAATGAGCTCCTGTCACTGATGATCATATAAAACATATTTCTTTACTGTGATAATACCTTAATTCTGTGATTTAGAAAATACTTTTGGCCTTACTATATGAAAAATTATATTTAATATCATGATCTCAAAGTGTATGTAACATTTAGTTAAAAGGGCCACATTCATTCTTAGGTAAGGTTTGAATTTGCTTTAAATACACATTCTTCTTCATGTAATATAATAATAAAATATTGGAGATATTCTTTTGAGATTCTGCTGTGTGTTGACATGATTGCATTACAACATCTCCAAAGATTGCAACCAGTTATATCTCCAATTATATCAAATCCTAAAAATGTTCCACTGAATTCTGATTCAGTGGATTTTAACTTATTCTAATGTTTGATGTGAAAACTGCCTGAAGCTCCTGCATATGCAGGGTTTTAAACTCTACGCTGGCACATAATAGCTGTTTGGATAAATGCATAAATATGCATAAGTATACAAAGTAACTCTGGTATTAACTGAAGTTTTAACTACAGTAGACTATTATGAAAGGTGTATAAAGGTGTGGTGTTGGCAAATCACAACATTTTAAACACAAATGCTAAAAAAAATACAAGTGAAATATGGAAGTGACATCAATCAGTGAAGAACTTTTCCTTGTCACAGGACAATGGCAATGCATGCTGCAGGCTATACAGGTACATACTGCTTTTTTTCAATATGGTGCTTGAGAGCTGTTTGCTCAAGGTAAGTAAATATCACAAAGGCCATTGGTTTTGTTGTGTTGGCTTTTGACAAGGCTGAAAGTTAAACACAGCACAAAACAGGACTGATCCTTCAATTGATAAGCATCAAAGCTGACATTGTAAAATATTTTCTCGCTGTTGTTCAAACCTAGAAGGAAGATTTTCCTTGTTAGTCACATTATTAAACAAATGTCTGAGCACGGCTGTTGACATGTTACTGAAATTATAGATTTGATCAGTTTTTCCCCCAAGACTGCATCATAGGTAAAGACTGATCCTTTGTAATAGCGAGAGGTTCAAACATGCTGTTGAAATATACGTTTCAAAAACATTTGCTACATAGTCACCATAGTTACACAGTACCACAAGCTGGAATCAGACATCAGAGGTTTGTTTTATCTAACAACAAATAAAGCACATCCAGGGATATGTTTGTACTTGTCGGTTCACTCGATTCATTCGTGTGAAGAGTGGCAAAGCTGGATCACGTATTTCCCTGCAGATCTCACAGCCCCAGACTGACTCCATGATCTTATGACTACACTGATCAATACAGTTGATTGTTATTGTTCATTTATTGGCTGTCTTGGAAAAGAATCCTGAAACCGCAATGTGAGTCTAACAATTTGTGGCTCTGAGGTCCACTATGAGCTTAGCATGTAAAAGGATATAAAATTATATGAGGTTTACTCTCTCTACAGTGTGCTTTTAACCAAAGTTCCTAATTCAGTGCAGTGTTCAGTGTCTTTCTCAGCGTGTGGAGTGAAACCATGTGCCTGGTGCGGTTTCTATATGAGAAATGTGGACATGCCTCAAAATCTATCAGCTCTAACTGTGATATCTGAGGTGGAAGCTCTGATCATGTTGTTCTCCTGTGTATTTTCTCTTGAGATTACGCTGTCCGTAATTATTTTTGTTCTTCACATCAAAGAAAGCTTCTCCATATTTTGAGGTTTCCCCCTCTTGTTGTTAGTGGGCAGGTCTGCTACTGACATGCAACAAAAATAAAACTTGGAAGTCATTGACAAAATGAAATGAATACTCACCTCCCATCGTGCAGGGTAATAAACAGATGAAGAAGAGAGAGGCCCAGGAGACAGTCATGGTAGTGCTTATCTCAAAGATGGGGACAGACGGCTGTAATGAGCAGCAACAAGAACTCAGCAACTCAAAAATTAAAAATGTTCCTGAATGTTTCTAAAATGACTGTTGGACATGCTTAAAGTTAAACTTCAAGTAAATAACTCAAAACTACAAATATAACAAAGGACAGCACTCGGGCATCGTCATCACTGTCTGGGATTATGTTAAACAGTCTTGTTATAAGGTCCACTGCCCTGTCTCCTGGACATACCTCCACAGCTGCTTTCACACTCTTCATCCCCTTCACAGCTGGCCTCACTTCCTCCTTACTCTGCTTCCTGATTCACTAACTGTCCTTCATCCAGCCTCCTCTCTCTTTCATTTTATCATTCATTAGCTCAGTTCCAGCACAATTCTTGACCTATTAGTACATTTCCACCTCTATCTTTGTTCGCTTTCCTCTATCCAGAGGAAACACTGAATGCCTTCTTGCTAGTTTCCCTCAGCAGTAAAGCTTTAATTTCCCTGTAACCCTTCACTGCCACCCAGAGCTTGTCTCAACTCCTCCCTGAACTCTGAGCAACAGTCTTCTCTTCTTAACTTCCACCCTTTAATAGACCCTTTAATACTGCCTTCACTTGCTTCTTCTTCTTGATGTCCAAACGTATCATAGATGTAGAACACCATGTGATATTGCCCAGCTACATTCTGGCCTGCCACCACACCTCGCCTCCTCCTATCTCTTTAAGTTTGCACTCACTGCATGTGATGTAGTCGTCCTGTGTACACCTTGTTTCCCTCTCATACATCACCCATCCCTTTTCTCAAAGTGTTCCCCACAGTCATTTCCATTCTTTTCCCAAAATCCACCATCTGTCCATCTGCATTTATCTCCTTAACACAGTACCTACCTAACACCTCTGTTCCCTTCCACTACATGTCTATTAAGGTTTGCTTAAATCAAACTTCAATAGACAAAATATTTTTTGTTTTTATCACTTCATCCAGCTTATTGTGGAATTCCTCTCTCTCTAACTGACAATTCAATCTGACCTGTGGGGCATACAAACTGACAACATTCAACAATTCCCCATCCACACAATTTGTAATTTGGAACTTATGATCCTAAAAATAGTACCATGATATAATGAGCAAAAGTTTAAACCAGCACAAAGCCAAGTAAAAACAGAACTTAAACCTTGTTAAAACATAAGTAAACTGACACTGACAGAGAATTTTAAAGCAATGAAAAGTAGAAAACTGAAATTTGAAACATTTAGTTGATTTAAAAGTCTGTTGATCCACTGAAGTTTTGTAACTCTTTATTCTCAACAAAATATTTTTAAAAAGCAAAACAGTCACACTAAATAGTTATAATATAATATAATATAATATAATATAATATAATATAATATAATATAATATAATATAATATAATATCAGTGTGGGGAAGGTTATGTTTAAAATGTATTCCACTACAGATTACAGTATACAGAATGGCACTAAATGTAGTTTGTAACATATTCCGTTAAGTTACTCAGTGTGAGTAACGTATTCTGAAAACTTTGGATTACTTGATATATTGTCATGATTTTTACAACTATGTAATGTACTATTACTGTGTGATTTATTAATATTACCGAGCTAACATTGTTAGCTGGTGTTAGCTGAGGTGCTGTTAGACTTGATGGATAGCATTAACAACCTGCTAGCTGCAAACAATCATGTGCACCTCTGAAAGCAGTACCAACTAGATGTTTAAATCTTAATATAAATGAGCAACAGTAGGGTGGACATTAGGTAAGGCTGTTGGTTTTGCAGAGATCTCTTACAGAAAACAATTTCTGTATCAGTATTGTGTTTTCTTTCTGTCTGCTTTCAACATGACCCAGGCAGCAACCACAACTAAAACCTGGTGGAGTCCTTCGATGCTGAGAGCAGCTTGCAATGCAAACTGAATTTGCATTGCACGGTCAGATTTCGCCCATCCCTTTCTTTTTTGTATGTCAAGTGGTGACGGAATTTCCAAGTAAGAAATGGATTCCTGCCCGTGCGCTGCTGGCTGCGTTGCGCTGGCTTCGGGTCGCCAACATCAAGCGCTTATATTAGAGCCTCTTATTGCATGTTTTGTTTGGGTTTCATGTATTCCGTTAGTTCCCAACACTGAATATAATATAATATAATATAATATAATATAATATAATATAATATAATATAATATAATATAATAGTTCTATTAGCGCTATATCGCTAATTATTATTACTAATTATCACTTATTTGCTCACGGCAGAGCCAGGCTGTTCTGTAATACGTTTTACACTTGCTGTGAAGTTTTCCACTCTTTGCTGTGTTGATATATAAATGTAAAAATCATCTCAGTTTTGAATCTTTTCATTAATATTTAAAAAAATCCCCAGAAATAGAAACATCTTCAATTAGATCAACTTACTGTGTGATACCTCCAGTCGTGGGTCGTGGCGGGTGCCGTGGATCAACGCTTCATTTCCTGAAACGGCAGGTGAGCAGCGCTGTGGCTGACTCCACCTGCGACTCTCACAGGGAGCAAAGTTCAAACCTGGTCACTGAAACGTGCCCTTATCAGCTTACCTGTCAGTGAGTAATAATGTCCCAAACATCCACTCGGGGTGGATGTGAAGTAGATAAGAGTTAACTGATTCACAAACAGAGTCATAAACAGCCATGTTAGTCAGTGTTTATTTAACAAGCATTAAATAAATGTCCTAATGTCACATATATCAATATACTATAATATAATTGTGTGTGCTCACTTTATATCGCTGCAAGCAAAAGGTTTATTTAACACCATCAATTGTTTTGTTATTACTAAAGTTAACCGTCACTGTGGCACAGTGTGGTTTGTGGCTCAGCTGCAGGGAAGGGGTGGAGCAGTTGGTTCAGGCTGTGGTGTCAGAGGAGGCTGACTCACACACCTGACCTCCATCATCTGATCATGTTTCCCCTTTTGAGTACGTCGCTGGGATCAGAGCAGAGATCTGTGTGTGGTGTGAAGCTGGAGGAGAGCAGCTGGAAAGCTGCTGTAGAAACAGATTGCAACTATAACGCTGTGTGCCTGAGTCCTTTATTATCACAGTCACACTCCAGTCAGACCTGCTTATCATAAAACAGAGCAAACACAGATCCAAAGTGACCTTTCAGTCTATGAATATGAATCTCAAAGACATAAATAATCTTTAGTAGACAGTGGAAACTCCGTTAGAAGCAACTAATGTCATGTAGCTCAGTGCAACAATCACAGTTCTTGTTCTACTGCAAGGTTTCCAGAATTAATAATTAGTCATTATGAATTGGGTTAATTCGAAATGAAATATAGTTTGCTCATATTAACTAATTTTTTTAAAAAGACAAAAAGTTTTTCTTGTTGCTAATTAATGCTCAGATTATCCTCTAATAATCTGAGGATACGATTATAGTTGTGCAAACTGGTGTTACCCTTCTTAGTTTTAGAAACTGGCAAAAGGATTAGTTAAGTTAGCAAACATCCCGCTCATTTTGAATTTGATGCCAGGAATACAATTCAAAAAAGTTATGACCAAATCCCAAATAAGTGTAAAGGTGGGAAGCAGCTCTGCCAGCAAACTGCTGCTGCCTTCTCTGAGCCCAGTCTGAGCCCAGACTCTGGGACTTGAACAAAGTTTAAAACTGTCCTGTGGTCTGACCAGTCCAAGTCTGAAATTCTTGAATTCAAAACCAGCATCTGTTACGTATGGAGGGCTTAATGCACATAATTAATGTATTTGAGAAAGTCTTGCTAGTGCTGAACAACATATACAGGTTTTAGAGACTCTTTAACTAATAACTAACCAGGCAGCTCGTTCACTTTCTCCTGACTGTTCTTTCTACACTTCTTTATCATACAAACAAAAAAAAAAATACAAATAAAATCAGTAGTTTTAAAGATAACAGACATTTTATGAAAGTTTGACCTTGTTTGACATTGAAGAAGAGGTCAGAGGTCCAACGTAACGTGATATTTAGAAAGCTCAGAAATCATTGCCTATATGCTTACATGTGGTCAATACAAACAACGGCAGTAAGAAAGAGTTTTAGCAGTTTTAGCTCAATCTATTGACCTTGAAGGAGAGGTCAGAGGTCAAATGTAACATGAAATTTTAAATCTTTACACAGTACTTTTATATATTGACAATATACGCCACCTAACTATAACAGTTTTAAGGCTTTTTGTCCCAGTTTGACCAATAAATCCTTAAGTTGACCTTAAAGACTTGGTCGATAAAAGGCAAGTTTGTAAAGACTTGTTAACTTTACAGCCATAAAAAGCTTTTATCAGAATTAATTTAAGTTTATTTGAGTTATCGTTACAGACAGAATGATATGCATGCATGCAAATGCTACCTCCTTGGAGAAGATAACAATGTAAATGCAAAACAGTGGGAAACCAGAGCTGACAGCTGAAAGTCAACTGAAGTTAACAATGCAGGCTTTGTAATATTCCCCAAATTAAGCTTTATGAGTACATTATGAAGGAGGCATGTATTAAACACACTTAATATACACTTCTTAGATACAAACAGTGCCATTTGGCAGCTAATGCTGAATGTTAATATAACTTCTGTTTACTTACATAAAACCTCCACAGCGCACCTTTGAGATGTGGTGCCAAGTTTTCAGGGATTTCAAGAGCCTCATCACACCTCAGGAACTCCACAGAGGAGATATCCACTATCTAAAATCTAAAATTATTTCCTAACCTTACATCTATCATCCTTCCTGGAAAGGTAGTTTGTTAATTCATTAATACAACAGTGAGTTGATGCTAGCTAATACTGGCACAGTTTAATATAATTAACATGCTGAAGACAAGACTTTGATTGGTAATTGATCATGTTACAGTGTTGCTACTTGTACTCGACTGAAAGCACAGGATACTTCTTTCACCTTTCAGTCACTGCAATAAGTTCATGCAGTGTCACTGTCAGCTCCAACCCCAAGGTGGGCTGGAATTAGCTCAGCCAGGTTTCCACGGCATTTTTATCCCTCGTCTCCTCACCCTGCATAATAAGAAAACAAGCAACAGTGGCTATTAAAACCAAAGATGGTTAGAAGGCAGAACAGCGGCTGAATATGGCAGTGCATGTAAAAAACAACTTTATTTTTCACTAATTGGTTATATTAATATTTATGTTTGTTTATCAGACTACTCCTCAACATTAGTAAAGGGACATTAACTCTGTTTATCTCTGATGTCCACAGTGCTTATGTCTTAATTGTTCATGGAAAGGTGATTCAGATCTGTATATGACCTTGATTTATGATTGCTTCAGAAATCAGATGATGGTAACTTATAATAAATATAAGAATATTGTGCAGTTAGAATAGTCTAGTGTAAGTCTTTTCCAAAAACGTAATCTTGTCTGGATTCAGTCTCGTTTGCACAGTAAGATCAACAAACTTTAGAGATTACATAGCCGCTCATTAAGCGCTACCTAACTGCTCTAAACACTAATCACACACTTGTCTTCCTTAGACAGTAAAAGCAGTTCCCCAGATTACCCTGTAAGCCTGCAGCATGCTTATGAATGATGGTGGGAGGTTTGTGTGTGTAGATTCTTAAAGCCGTGCAGCCTGTGGACCTGTGATACATTTCAATGAGTGTCTTCATCAACATCAAAGACATGCAGATTGCTTAGTGTTTGATTTGCAAGCTAGGGGTTTGACACTGGGTCAGTCAGGGTTTCCTGGTTGACCACTAGAGGTCACTGTGGGATCACGTTCTTCTTATATAAAAGGCTGGGGTAGAAATTGCGCATATGGCAGCATTTTACACGCACTTACTGCTTGTTGCTTGCTTGTTAACTTGTGAACCACAGTTGCATATGTTGGCAAAATTCAATTTTCATGCATTAAAGCAGGGAAGTGAATTTTGCAATTATGAATAATAAAATTTATGTAAAAAGTAAAATATGTTTTTGTGTTTCTGTGGATTTGGGACTTGTTTTCTATGCATGAAGATGAATTAAATATTTGAACAAAGAGGTGGCAACAGGTAATTTACTCAAATTACCTGTTGCCACAATAGAAAAAGAAAAAGAGTTTATTACAGGGCGTTTATCCAAATGTGTTCAAAGTGGAAGAACAGAAGGAAAAAGATGTCTCCCAAGTCTCAAAATTATACATAAATTTAAACCTGGCTTCTGTTACTATAGTGAATTATTTGTAGGTTGTTTGCTATACGTTTAAAATGTAAACTTTAAATTGTAATGGAGTGAAATGTCTAATATTTCCTACTGAAACGTAGTGATGGCAAAATAAACATTACACTGTAGCTATACTAGTACATTTGTTCTTATGCAGAACCTGATAAAATATACCAAAACGATCTTTCTGAAGATGAACATGTGATTGAAAGGAGGCCTTTGGTTGGAACAGCCGTCTGACTGATGGACAGCTGAAGATGCCAACATGACCGGTCTTTCCGCTTAAATAAAAGGCTGATGTGGGCCACAATTTCTGAATGCAGCAGTGTAGCAGGAGCTGGAACATCTCCAGACACAGTTGGTATTGTATAGGCATAAGTGAGCAGACAACCATGAAACACAGGAAGTAGATCGGTGGGGGGAGGGTCAACTGATCCCTGCATATGACCGACTCTGCTGTAATTCAGATGGCCTTCTCTGCCACCAGGTTTGCTCTGTCAGGGATCACCAGTCACAGTGTATCACTCATCTGCTGCTTCACTTAACTAGCCTTTTGTTTCCATACATTGTTTGCAACCACAGATTATTTCTACTTCTCACTTCCTTTATCTGTGAGAAGAAAATATGATATGACCCCATGATGGAACATATTCCTTACAAAGAAATTCAGAGCAGCATTAATTACCATTGTAAGATTTGTTTTTGTTGTGTCAGCTGTCGGCTAATCAATGGTTAAAGCCGACTAAGGTTTTTTGTTCCTGAGCTTATTAAGCTATGTTGTCACTGGGACATGCCGCCGCCCTCTTTCACCTGTAAAATACTGTTAAAGGCAAAACATGGACACTCCCTTGTTTAGACTGCAACAGTTTCCTGGACAAATACAATTCAGTGTTCTTTTTTTAGAAAATATATTTTTCCATTCTCAACTGTACTATTATTACTTTCTGAATAGTTTTGAATCAATGAATCAATATAGACATGTATATTAAATACAAACAAATATGTATCAGTCAAAAGGATTTTTTAAAAATGATTTTTTTCATCAAAAAATATCCAACTTTATATTAAGTGTCCCACAAAAAATTGGCTTGTTACAAAGCCTAGAACATTAGCCTGTCAGCAAAGAGCGTACTGTCTGGCTACACAAACGACCTGTGCAGATGCTGTTATTGTGCCCCATAATGTCACGTTCTTGGGTTCACACTGTGAGCTCTGGTCGTGCTGGAGCCCCCCTCACACAAACTGCAATAATCTGGCTTTACCCGGTGCTCCATATGGGAAGCCTACCATTCGCTGATGGGTTAAATCCACTTAGTGAGAGGGAGAGGGAGCGACTCAGCTTTTCCTTACGTCCAGCTGACCAGTCTGTCACGTCTCTGTCTGGCTGCATCAAGGACCA